GTAGTGAAAATACTTTTTATAGAAATATCATGCAGGACTTTATGATAATAATTGTTAAAGACTTCCGTCATCAGTATCATTATGTGGCCATGCAGTTCTTAAACAGACACAATTTCAACCGTCCGTTGTCTGTCCGTCGTCCATCAACTTTTCCTTTAAAACGCTACTTCTATATATAGTCCTGAACGACCCAGTAGATTTTTATTAAATTTTTCTGGAGCATCCTCCCCCCCCCCTCCCCCCCTGGAGCATCCTTGGGCCAAGGCAACTCAATTTTGTAAAAACGGTGGGTGTGGCCTCTTTGGGTGGAGAGGGTCAGGGATCAAAAGGAGAATCGGAGGTTTACATCTTCAAAATATCCTTCTTGACAGGATTTTATCCAAATTTGGCCTGGCGTATCCTTTGGCAAAGGGAACTAAATTTTGTATTAACAGAGGGTGCGGCCCCTCTGGGTGCAGAGTTGTGGGGCCCAATAGGGGAATTTGAGATTTTAATTGTTTAAAACCTTCTTCTGTACCATTGAAGGGTTTTTATCCAAATTAGGCCTGGAGCATCCTTGTTTAAAAAAAAACATAAGCTAATATATCATCATTATTTATTAACTTAGATTTAACAATGCATGGATAAATTGACAATATTCATTGGATGTAAAGTTTGCACAATTAAAATTGTGTAAAAGGACATAATATTTCACTAGGGCTTTAACCCAATTTAAGTGAAATATATCCATTTACATAATAAACAAGTGCAATCTGACATCTCAGATAAACATATATATGTGATTTATTGCTTTTATTACATACCAGGTACATATAATAATTCTTTATGTGTATTTTATATTTTCAGACATGTGTTTCATTGCCCTGTTTCAATTTTCATATTTTTTTTCCCTAACAATTACATTAATCAATCAACATAAAGGAAAAAGTGGTTGCGTCCTTCTCTTAGTTCAATTGTGTGCGTGTACCAGGGACTCGACAGGTAGGCTAGTCGTCGCCATGTTATTAAGTACATCGCTAGACTGCACGTGTCAAAGCTGTCTAACTGGTGTCTTTCAGAAAATCCAGATTTGTTCTCTCAGAGATATGGGACCTATTTCCCGAGTGTGCCATTAAATTGGCAATTCCATCGTTCAGAATAATTAACAGAGAATTTTTTTTTACAAACAAAAATTTGAACGCAATACGGATGATGACCAGCCGCGAGCCGGACCCTGTTTGAATGCAGGACGTACGCTGAACAGAGGCCACACTATTCCAAAGTGGATACTTGGCCATAAATATAGCTGCATCATGTATATGTGTTCAACACATACAGCAGCCATCTTCATTGTAGAGTTAGTGGTATGTAACATATATTTCAATTATGATATCTGAACGTGTGGGCCTTGGCATTTACAGTCTTAACGAATGACCATCCAAACTTGATAGGGTTACATATAGTGGCAGTGCTATAAAGTGGCAAATGTTTAACTTAATTTCAAGTGAAATTAATAAACACTTTTCTTGGAGGCACAGTAGTCTAGTGGTAGGAGGCTGGGGTCGTGACCGAAGGGTTGCGGGTTCGAGTCACGGCACGGCACTGTGTTGTATTTTTGAGCAAGATACTTTACTCCGCTTGTTCCAGTCTACTCAGCAGTAAATGAGTACGTGGTTGGGCAGTGCTAGAATTGTAGAATATTAGCTGTGAGCGCCGAAATTGCAGCTCCCCAGGGAGTTGAGAAAGATATTGGCTGGTTGCAAAGGCCCTATAACCACGGATAATAATTTGTGAACTGCTTTGAGACGACCTACGATCTTAAATTTAAGGTTGTGATAAAGCGGTATATAAGAACCTCAAATTACTATTATTATTATTATAAAAAGAAGGGACAGAAAATTATATTCCTGTCCTTATAAGGATCCATCACCTACCCAGCTACCTAATATCTACCAATTGCAACCTTATACCTGTACTGTACAACTGAAATGCACAAACACTCTTCTTTACAGAAATGTAAAGCTGTGAGTCATCATGAATTCTAAAATCAATTCTCTGATCCTTTAAACTGTTTTTAGTTGTACCGATGCTTTTCAAGGTCGAATCTCCATATGCTATTTCTCTAACCCTTGAGGTGGTCCGAATGCCTGCACGGTGTCTGTCTCTGGGGTTTATCTACCTACCAAGAATAACCTTGTGTTTAAAATCAAGGCACATCACTGTATCAATTAAATGCCATATTGAGTCTTCCGAATCAAAGTATCATTGAATGAACATTTTCAATACACGTTTGTTAAAAAATGCATTCAGTGTCTATATATGTCAACATGTTATGTCCACGATAGTGCAAGGACATAATATACTGTACAAAATAAAGACAGAAAAAAATCAAGTTACCAAATTTGTAAACTGACAACTTTCGCATAGGTTGTTGTGTCACCTGTGGCTCTCTGAAACAAGATGTATAGCAGTCTACTATAATTGAATTTTCATTTTTTGTAAAACTTTTTGTAAAACTGAACACAGAATAATGAAGCATATAATATGTCATACCCGGTAAACATTCTGTTTTTTGGTGCCCATGCTTCAATGAATTTTGTTAGATTTATGAAATTATTATATCGGTTATATTAACGAATGGTGAAGAAACTTAATGGGTGATATCATATAACTACAAGGCGTTTTCCTGACATCTACTACGCTATGAAGTTTCATCTACATTAAGTTTCTGATGTGCATTAGAAGATGCTACATGATTACATAGGCTTTTTATCATTTTGTTGCAACTTTTGAATAAATTATTTAGAATATCAAAAAAGAAACATCTATTAAGGTACACATGAATATTTAGGATCAATTAAAAATATGCAAATATATGTTCATATTTCCACTTCAAATACATTTTACACTCAAGGAACATTACTTATATACACAATTTATGAATTGTTCTGATATATATCATACATTCTTTCTTATAAAAAGTGATATTCTCAATTAATGGTAGTTGCATTTGATAACAGCTCTTCAAGCAGGTGTTTGCCATAAAGATGTTGGTATTTGTTGGTAAAGAGATGCTGACTGTATAAGTCAGTGTTTGTGATAGAGTGTGGTCCCTCTAAGAAGATGTTTGTTGAAAACAAGTGGTTTCTACAAGCAGGTACCTATTTGTAATAAGAGGTGATCTCTATAAAGCATGCAGGAACTGTTTTTGTGGTAAAGAGGTGGTTTCTAAAAGCAGGTGTTTGTGGTAAGGTCAAGTGGTTGATATAATACCACTGGTAGATGTTTTCAATAAAGACGTACCAGTATTTATAAAGATTTCATTGCGATAAACAGTGGTCAATATAAAAAAATGTTTGTGGTAAAGAGATAGTTTAATACACAGACGTGGTGGTAAAGCTGTCTCAGGTTTTCATCAAAATGTAGTTCTCTTTATAAACAGCTTGAGTTTATAGTCAAGAATTGGTCACTATATTTCACGGAGAGCGACTGTTCCTGGCCTGTACCTGTGAGGTTTCTTAACACCTCCGGTGGCTGGGGCATATATACAGGTGTTTGTGATAAAGAAGTGGTCTATTGTTCTATTGTAACAGATTTTTGTGTTAAAGTGTACGTTCTCTATAAGTGGATGTTTGTGGTAATTACTGATGCTTGTAATAAAGAGGTAGTCTTTATAAGTAGGTACTTGTGGTAACGAGGTGAACATTGTTTGTAGTAATTAGACAAAATGGTCTTATTATTATTTATAGTGATTTTAGAGATAAGATAGATATATCATACCTATAATCAGTATAAAATGACCACCCTTCGGTAATGTTTTGTATACATGTACATACAATAGCTGACTCAACAATTCTGAGAGACCCTCTAAAAACCAATAGTCAGAGAATAAAACAAATGATGTCTTACAGCAAATTGTCTACATTGAAGTGATGGTATAGATTTCAGATTTGAAGCCTGGCATTATATATTGCAGCGGTCATTTTGTGTCTGACCCTTTCCAGAGTATCAGAATAATTGTGGAGATAGTTGCATGTATATGACTGATACCCATGGCCAGTGTATTCAGTTTTAGTTGACTGAAATTCTGTGTCAGTGAAAATGTAATGTTTATCATACTGGACGTTGGGTAATGACAGTCAGGTCATGTCATTATCAACTTTGTAAAATTTCATTAGGAGATATATTTATTCAGTATTCTAAGAATGAAATTTGACTATAAACCTCTTCAATATGAAATATAAAAATAATATGACAGAGAAGAAATGACGAGTTATTCAGTTATTCATTGTTGTACCTTGTAGTTGTACAATTTGTTTCTACAATTTACTACAAGAGGGGACTAATTCTAAGCTTTGAACATGGTCCATGCATTAGTCCTTCAGTATGTGTGTCATTTTGTAGAAGGCTTATATATCTAAAATACTCTACCCTACTATTGCAAAAATGTGTAGGCAATTACACTGTGCCTCTTTGGATGCTGGAGAGATAATGCGAAATCAGGTCTTGTAGTCCCCAATATATAAAATTATTGCAGTACGCCCCCTTTTCCCCCTTTGATGTTATCAGGCGTATGACAACATGTTATAGATAAAATGCAACCAAAATGTTGCACATGTAAATCCATTGTGAGATGTCTTATTGTGGTTTGTGTGGTGAAAATTAGCCTGTGCCCTGGAATTCACCAATTCAATAATTCAGTGTCCTATTATTCAACTCCAACAGTGGCATTATGGTGGGGGATGGGAATTTCTTAAAGAGGACAGAAATTTGTCCAGCACAATGATGCTTTCTCTTTTTGTCCTTTCTAAAGAAACTTTGCATACATTAGTTTGGTAGCCATAGGTGCTTGCATAATTCAGATTTATTTCAATTTTAGTGAGTTACTCCTCTTCTCTGATTTTTTTGTGTGGGTGCGGAGGATAAGTCAGACAGTGTGGCTTATGAGTTATCAGTATCAGGTTTGATAACTATATAGTCTATACATGTACATTTTTAAGTGTATTGGTTTCTCCTTCCAGTACTGGTTACTGTATCCTGATATCCCAAGGGATTCACCTACTGTTGGAGAGATTTCCAACCAAGAGATTCCACATACTCACTAGCTGTACCCTCCTACTGCTGGTACTTGTGGGGAAAACTTGGAACCAGAATTACACCTGGATCTCTAGGGAGTCCCTGTTCAGGTAAAGTTGTCTACTCTTGATCTACATCTGTCTCCCTTACATGTTCTATCAGTTGCATACAGTTGAGAAATTACAATTCATTATGTATATCAAACTTTAAAATAAAAAAATGAAATGTATATTTGAATGAACTGGCCCAAGACTCTTGACATCAGCATCAATTTCTGATCCCACCGTATGTTTGATATATGCATCGTAAAATAAAATGTTTGAGATTAATTAGAATGTATTTATTATTACAGATCAGGAGTGAAGATCTTGCCACACAATGCTAAAGTTCACTATAATTATGCTAATTACCTCAAAGACAGAGGGTCACTGGCTGCTGCTACTGATCACTACCAGGTGGCGCTAGAGTAAGTAGGAAGGATATCCTAAGCTAGAAGGAAAACCTTTTTTTAAAGTTCACAGCTAGAGTCAGTATATATTACATATAAGTTGAGTTTCTGCTAATTTTTCAGCATTTTTAAGTATTGCTAATGCACATTTCTTGTTGAAATGCATTCAAAACAGATTTATATATGTAATGTTATGTCATAATAGCAGTTTGGTATTCTGAATCAATCTCATAGTGATATACATCAAAACCAATGTTGCAAACCATTTGTGCACCATAGGTCTCCTTGTATGGTAAACTAGGCAAGACTACTTTCAAATCAAGGGTTAATCTGAGATTTTCCCTTGACCTTGACATGAACCATCCATATATCCACCTTTTGACACCGATTCCGTGACCATAATTCTTTAATGTATATAAATAATGTATTATTGCCAGCAATCAGTGAGCAGCCCTGAATTACCATAGCTATGTATATATACATAGCAGCTGACTCATGAATTTTAAAGCTCTTCATTTAGTTAATGAAACTGATACCTTCAGGGATCAAATTAACACCATTATGTACGTAATACATGTATGAATGTATCATATTTGTAACTGCCAGAAATAGAAAATTGTCATTGAGCTGCATTTTGTGTAGCTGCAACAGAGTTGTCTCCCTTACACTAAATATTACATTTTATCATTATTGTGATCCTCAGCCTGTACCACGACAACCCCAGTGCCCATAACAATCTAGGGACCCTGCTGTCCAACAAAACCCAGGCTGAGTACCACTACAAACAGGCTCTGGCTCTGTGTGAAGATCACAAGGGGGCTCATGTCAACCTGGGATCACTGTTATTGTAAGTACATGTAATCAAGAGTACTTGACTTGTCATTCCTTTTCTTATTTGTTGTATAAGTGAGCTCCTTGTTAAATAAGAAAAGGGTTCACTATTATCAGATGTTTGTTGGACTCCATGCAGTTTTTTGCTCACCTGTCCCTTTGATGCTGTGGCGCAGCATCCGTTGTCGTCTGTCAACTTTTTAAATGCTACTTATAAGTCCTTAATATAAGGGCTCAGTGGGTTTTGACCAAATTTGGTTAGAAGCATCATTAGCCGAAGGGTTCTCAATTTTTTATAAACAAAGGGTATGTCCCTCAGCTGGGGGCAGAGAGGTGGTGCCAAATAGGGGGAAAAAAGGTAAATCTTCAAAACTCTTCTCCTTCTCAACCATTAAGGGATTTTGACCAAATTTGTTCTAGAGCATTTTCGGACAAAGGGGTCTCAATTTGGTATAAACCTAGGGTGTGGCCCCCCTGGGCGCAGAGGGGTGGGGCTCAATAGGGGAAATAGTGGCAAATATATCTCCTATGTACAAATGAAGGGATTTAAACCAAATGTAGTCTGAAGCATGCTTAGGGTAAAAATACTCAATTTTGTATAAACTGAGGCCTAGGCCCCCCTTTGGGCAGAAGGGTGGGGTCCAACAGGGGAAATAGAGGAAAAATTAAAAGGATCTTCTCCTTTTGTACCAATGAAGGAATTTGATCCAAACTAATAATTGTTCTAGATCATCTTTTGCTGAAAACGATTCAATTTTGTATAAACAGAGTATTTGGCCTCCCTGAGTGCAGAGGGATAAGGCCCATTAGGGGAAATGGAGGAAAATGTTTCTCCTTCTGTACAAATAAAGGGTTTTAACCAAATGTAGTCTGAATCATGCTAAGGGGGGAAAAACTAAACTTTGTATAAAAGGAGGGTGTGGCCCCCCTAAGGTCAAGAATTTTTTCGCTGTTAATAGAATAAATGACACAGTACAGAAAAAAACCCACCTGTACATATCACCTAGTTTTTCCTGGTCGATTTACAGCAATAGAGGGGAGAAAAAGCTTGGTATCAGCCTCCTACAAAGAGCTCTGGAGATTGACCCTAGCTATGAGGAAGCCTTTATAGCACTTGCTGGAATGATGGTAGAAACCAAGAACTGGACCGAGGCTGACCGACTCTTCCTGTCAGCAATGGCCTACAACCCAGCGTCTGCTCAAGCCTACCATAACTATGGTACCTTTCTGCATCGTAGAGGCAAGTGATGATGTATTATTTAATCTGAATGAAATTTGCTCAGTGAATAAAATTGTTTCTAAATTTTAACCTTTTCTATGTGGTAGCTTACTTTATTGGTTCACCATTTGTTGTTGTGGTCCTTGCAATGAACATCTAAGGTCATTTCTTCACCAAAGACAAAAAAGAAGAATGTGATTTACGATTGAAGGTCATAATCAAGGTTGAAGGTCTCTTAGTTAAAAGATTTTTGAATTATCACTTTTTCCCTGCCAGGCTAAAAACAGAAGGTCTCATATCAAAGAAATTGCTTTCAATGCTGTTTGATAATATCCACATTGAAATCCAAAGTCCAAGGTTGCAAGATCATAAAGTTAAACAAATGGTTCCCAATGCCCCATAGTGTTTAGAAAATGATAAAGTTATGTGAGTATTTTTACTACACAGGAGAGGAGAAAAAGGCACTAGAGTTTTATCAACGAGCCCTTGAGGTGGACCCAGGCCACACGATATCAATTGTGGATACTGCCAGATGTCTAAAGAACCAGGGCAAGCTTTCACAGGCAGAACACAGCCTAAAACAGTAAGTCTGTTACAGTAGTAAGTGTACAAAAACTATTCCTCTATAGTCTCAATCAACAAGTTTGTCTCAATAGTAGATGTAGCACTTAGTCTTAGAAACTCTATATCTTCAGAGCCTCAACTGGTAAGTTTTACACCAAATTAATTATATCTTGGATGTGTGTAAAAAACTGAACATCTTCAGAGCCTCCACTAAAAGGTCAGACACTAATTATACAACAGGTGAACCATTATACTTTAGAAACAGTATACATTGTATTTTCAGAGCCTCGATGAGTAAATCATAATAGCAGTAAGATATATAATAACTTATTAGATCATGGAAGAGGGACATTACTCTACACATGTATACACGCACATTTATTTCAGGAGCAAAACTTGAAAGTTTAATCCCTACCAATAATATTCAATTGTGTTACAGTATTGGATGCGAGTTTACAGTTTACCTATCTAAATCTGTAATTTGTGTGTGTTGTAGTGCCCTGAAAATGAAAAAGGAAGATTCTACACTGGACTTGCTTGGTGTGGTGTACTTTGAGATGGGGCGTAGCAGTGAGGCGATTCATTTGTATGAGGATGTCCTGAAGGACAGCCCTAACAATACAGATCTCCTCTTCCATTATGTAAGGAGAAGTATCAAACTTTAAATTCTATAAAGATAATGTGATGTTTGCTTGATCAACTCATTTCTTTCCTTTAATAGTAAACTTAGCGTTTAAAGAATGACTACACTACATTTATGTTCCCTGACAGAGGCCTACTAACCACAGGGGCTAATTGTGCCAGAGAAGACAAATCATTTTTGCTATTACCGGGGTAACTTCAACCATTGGACTATTTAAATGTTAGCTTGATTAGCTGATTTCCTTCCTTGTTATATCATATAGCTGACATCATGTTACCTGCTATCTAATATTACACTAGATACAAATGTTTCATCTGTTTTACAGTCTCAGGTGCTGGCAAAGAACTTGAAGTTTGAGAAATCAGAGGCTGCTCTACACCAGGCTATACGCCTATCACCAAACAGTATAGAGATCCTCACTCAGATGTCCAAGATCCTCGGACAGCAGGCCAGGCATAAAGAGGTACGTCAGTGGGCATTGTAAAGGCCATGGTCACACCTGTTTAGCAGGTCATTGGGCCTCTTCCCTGTGTAACATGTGTAGGTCAAGGTCATCAGCCCAGATGATAGGTCATAGTGCACTAAGATCATGGTATCTACCTTAGGGCATAGGCCAGTTAATAAGTTTTAACATGAATTTCGTCACATATCTTCAAAAGTATCGTAAGACCAGAGGACAATTAGGAAATAAATTGTTGCTTGGTTACATGTTTCAAGCATAATGATTCAGTGTATTTCATACATATCATCGCTCCAGGTTACAGGCAAAGGATCAATAGAGCAGTTAGATGTTCTTAAAATATACAGTTAAACATTCATCCTGAAACTTAAAGGACAAAAGTTAAATAAGTTTGCTAGAACTGCAAGAATAGCATCTGTTGTTATTGAGACAATTCTTTGCCAATCACATGGCACTCATACGACATATGATATTTTCACTCGTGCTTTGCACTTGTGAACAGTATTGGCATTCTCTTATGTACTCATGAAGTATATATGGTATTCAATGGGAAACTGTTACCAGGTAAATATCTATACTTGGGACTGACATTTACTTTCATGTTAGTTTGTGAGGCCACTCATTTAAATCATCAATAGATAATTACCATCAGTATTGATATAGCAGGGTAGATAAAGTGACCTCTCTATTAGGAAATTCAACGCTTCCAAAAAGACCTATACAGGTATAGTTTGCAAAATAAAGCCAGTTACATACATACAAACTGATTGACAGTAATGCTGTGGTAGATACGTGTCAATGTTTATTGGGTTGGAGTTGATTAATAGAATCTATCGCTACTGGATGTGTAAGATAGAGAAATCTCAACCCGAGGGTTGAGATTTCTCTATCTTACACAACCAGTAGCGATTGATTATTTTTCTCCAATATCTAACAGTATTTTAATGTGAAATAAAGGTAAACATGGACCCAAAACACATACAGGCAATTTGTTGATGGATTGTTGACGTGACGTCATTGGATTGTTGAAGTGACGTCATGCCATTGTTATGAATAGGGGAATCCCCCCCCCCCCCCCCCCCCCCGTCTCAACCCTAGGGCGGAGACAGATAAATCTAGCACCGGCAAAACGGGAGATAAATCTGTCAGGTGTGGGAGAAATATCTATACATTAAGGATTGTTATTTACAGGCATTGCCCTACCTTGACCATGCTATCACAGTAGCCCAGCGGACCAATGACAGACTGGCCCTGGTGGACCTCTTCCTGCAACATGGTGATCATAACAAAGACATCCAGCAGTATTCTCAAGCTGTCAATGTAGGCAATATACACTGCAGTGTTTCATACTTGTTTCTTAGTCACATTTGCTCTAAATGAACAATGTAATCTGCAGGATTCGTCCATCATCCACTCCTTCCAAGCGGCACGGAGGGAGACCTTCATGGGCCTGTTCACTCCAATAAATCAATTGTTAATTAGGCCTAATCGGCATTATAAACACCAAGCTACCTTTGATGCTACTTTTCCAGTTTGATACCGGGTATTTTCAGGATTTAAAAAAAAAAAAATTGACCAACAATTGTAAAATATATTAACTGTGGAATTAGCAAACCAGAATTAGGTGACAAATAGAATCAACAATAGACAAAAGCACCTGTCATAATAAAACTTACTTTAGATCCTTTATTACCCATAGTGCTTCAGAGATAATAGATTTAATGTTCAATTTTCAATTGATTACTTACCAAAGGTTTTCCACATATACTCAATTTAGTTGCTTAACTGAGACTTTTCCATATGGTATCTTTTATAGATTCAAAGTTATATGGGGGAATTGGAGGGGGAAAAACAGAAATATTGTGACAAGAACAATCAAACGTATATAAACACTACCATAAGAAATTGCAGTCATTATGCTGATAGCTGCCTATAAACTAAATATGGGAAATGTTATTTCAATGCTCTCCCTCTCTCCTCACATATCACAAGACCATCTTCAGTTTCGGGAAGGTTGATTGTGCTGATAATATAGAAATTGAAAACTGCAAATATTGTGAAATACTTATATTCAGATAACAAATAACCATTAACTATGAGTGAAATATTAAATATGGATTTAACCAGTTTGCTTTCACAATATACCATGAGTATGAATAACATACACTTTTCTAATGTAATGCAGACAAAGAAAAGTTACTTTCCTGTGAAAGTGTTACTTTGGTTATACCACATAAACACATCTATAGCTTTCAAGGCTTTATTAAGAATTAAAACAATTTGAAATTATTTCTATTAAGGTGCAGACATATATTAACAGTAACAAATATTGAGACCAGTAAAGTTACAGATAAGCTCCTTAAATGCTTTGTAACTGAGGGTGCTGAGATGTTCTTCTTTTAAATAAAGATATAACAATTGTTTTTGCTTATAACTTATTTATAATTTGCAACAGTCAATTATATAAAAAAAAAAAAAATGGAAATCTTTTTCGTTGGAACTAAAACAAAGTGCTAGGACTCTCTACCTTAAGGAAATTCTGTGTATTACCCCTATATCACTGCAACTGGTTTATTTCTTCCCAGTAGTGGTATAATGCTTATTTCGTGCAGGACTATAGGGAAATGTTCTAATGTATTTTATTTGGTTGTAGAGTTTCAGTGAAGCATTAAGACTAGGAGGAGATAATCCAAGTGTGCACCTCAACTTAGGAGCCCTACATCATATACTGGTGAGTGTATTCTGCAATTAATAATAATAATAATATACATGCAACTTTTATATCGCACCCTATATGATTTGTAAAATTACTCTAAAGTGCTTTACAACATATGGATAATAGTACTAGTTATAAGTGTGGAAAAAAATGGCTTACAATCACCATTATCCATTAAGCAAGATAATCATCGCAATGTGCACATAAATGAATAAAGAAAGGGTGGTATTTACATGACGTCTGTTGAAATAGTCTAAAATGCAGACATGAAGAGGTGAGTTTCGATGTCCTTCTTGAATTTGTTTTTTCTGGTAGAGAAATTAGGAAGTGTTCATGCTTTATATGTAGCTTGAGTTGGGAATAAAATGTGGCTTAATTATATCCACATTCATTACATTAACCATACACAGCATCATTTCACATCTTTAAACGATATAACTCATACTTAAATGATAATACTCATACTTAAATGATAATACTCATACTTAAATGCTGAATCCGTAGGTTAAAGAAGGCTGTGAACTGTATCATAGTAATGAGATGAAATTTATAAGTATAATTATGACGAAATTCTCAGGGGTGTTTGAAAATGAACATAGTTGAGATTCTGTTTATCATATGCTCCATATAGATTTTGTGAATATCGTTTTGGTAACTTTTCTAATACAGGGCCACCACAAAGAAGCTAAACATCACTACTTGCGAGTTCTGTCCATGGATCCAAGTCACACGATAGCCAAAGACAATCTCCAAAAACTGGAACGCCTCCAAAGTCAGGAAAGATCACGGTTGTGAAGGGAGATAATCCATGTCCAATTGCTCAAAACTAGTATTAGCATTATTGTTGAACTGCCATGGGGTGCATGAATATTGTGCTTTAGATTTTTAATAAATGAGACAAAATAAAGCTGCTACCATTTCCTGATCTTCAAACCATGCCAAAAAAAGTTAGTTTTTTTACCCTTGTACTGTTAAAATGGTGACCATAAATTAAGTATCTGAAAAGATGAGTCTGTGATCTGAAATTAAAAACTTGCAGGAATACACGTTTCAAAATATTTGTGTGTGTGTATGTTCCTGTACTAATCCTAATGTTATAATGAATACATATACATGTATATAAATGTTTTCCATTTTGGTGCATCTTTGACAATTTTTAGCCAATTTTTTTAAACATAATACATAAACAAATAGTGTGTATGAGTTCACGATTTAGTATGTCATGTGTCAGTTATGATTCAATAAAAATGCACAACTGTAACATAAAGGAAATCATATACAATTCAGACATCCATTTTGTGTTGGTTTTGCCAAACGTTTCGTCATTATGACTTCGTAGTACACAACACCTTTTTTATTGCCAAAATTTTGCTGTATTACTCGTGTCATTATAATTCACAAGATTTTATTGTACAATTCTGTCTATCAAGATATAAATTGGACAGGTTAATATTGCTGTTGTTCTTGCTTGCCTTACAAATAGTTGTTTCCAATCTTATAATAGCACCTTGTAATCACAGCCTTAAGTCAAGGTTTATTCTGTAAAAGAAATACGTTATTTTACAGGTGTACATACATTGTATGTGCAACAACCATACCCGGTAGCTCTTATGTGTGATGCTGTAATGTTTCAGAATATCTGTCAGCAATTGTGGTGTTATGGTTGAAAGCCTTTCTTGTCATGTTTACCGTCTCCAGATGAAGTGTTGATTCCTATTTTACAATGTATCAGTTTTCTGTAATGGAATTGCTGCTTTCTTGTCTTGAAATTACTTAAAAAGACATGACTGTTTATCCTAAGGATACATGTAAATACTTGGATATTGCCGATCAGCTGATTATTTAAATGATGCTGCTGTACATAAATGATCATTACATTGGTTTGTCTTTAAATGGGGTAGGACATGTTTAATTTTATAATTGATATTTATTGTACTTATATCTTTATAACAATTAAAACTTGAATATAAATAGAAAAATTTATTGCACTACTGAAATATTATTTGAATTACTTCTGTATTATTTACCGATGCAGCATGGTCTGAGTGATCTGTTTATATAATGTCTCGGCAATGTGTTTGTAATGTCTCTTATTAAGATACAAAGTGTTTTTTTATGTACAAACACCTTTATTATTTCTGACTTTTTATTTTAATAAGTAAAGCTCCTTTTTTTATTTTCATAAAATTATCATTATGAAAGCGTTCAACATTTACCTTTAGATTTATCGATATTACCAGTCCATGTAAGTCACTAAACATTCACTGATATCCCTAATACAGTATCTGTTATGAATTATATATATGTTTAATGAGTTAGGAACAAGTGGCTACATACTTTGTTTGTAGTACTTTTGTATTATACAAGTCCATGGGGCTATAAAAGCCCTAGAATAATTACATGTATATTAAAATTCACATATTCAATAATGAAATTTTCATATATTTTATATTTACATTTTATTCATTGATATTCACACATTCGCTATTGTTAGTTGCACGTTATTATATTGACATTAAAAAAAATCTATAATATTTATGGATTTTAAATTTATGATGATCATGTGATACATCATTTCATGAGTGATAGTTTAAGGGCCAGTAACAAAAAGCTTTAAAAAACAAACTTTTTTTTTTTTTTTTCAAAAATTCATTCCATATGTACATAATATAATATTGTACTACTGTATTTGGGTCGTTTTATCGCCATCATAAATATTGTTACATTGGTAAAAGAATGTGATAGTCCATAACTTTTATTGTTTAATTTCTTTTCTAAATGTTAATTCAATATGTATATAACATACTTTGGTAAGATTTTGACTAGCCCTTTTTTATCAAAAAAAGAAAGTTGATTTTTAAAAGCAGAGGCTAGATACATAGAAAACAAAAATTGAATGATAAAGTGATGACAATATTGTTGGTATCTGTACCTACTTCAGTTGTAGAATAGGTCATTATCATTTTATTAATATGTCAGAGTGTCAACTGATGTATACAAAAAGTTGTATAAGAGATCATGTGCTTCCCAAAGTCAAATTTTGCTTATCAGATAAAATTGATAGTGCATTAAGTGATGATTCTAATTTAAAGTAGGTGCTTTTATGTATATCTCTAGTCATTTTAATTATTTTATGTATATGTATATACATTTTGATATTTCAGTATTCTATAATATATGTAGTGTATATAATATTGATTATTGTGAGAGGGTGACTGGTCTGTTTGTATTTTATTTTGGTATGATGTAATGTGTGATGAACCTTGTCTACACTGAATCTTTTGTTCAGATAAAACAGGAGTATAAAGTTGGATCTACCTGAATGTCTCAGGCTATTGCACATTCAGGGTTTGGTTTAGACAGATTACGTGATGTCTTAAAATATACACTTTATTAGCATTAAAATCTTAGTAAAATTATAATTGGTAGATCCCTTAAAATGACCCCAGATTGGGTTTTATCTGTATATACCTGGTGACCCTTGGTTAGGTGTATGTTTGATCCTTGGCATCCAAAGGTTAGGAATATGTACCCTAAGTTAGGCATTTGTTTGACCCCTGCTGACCCCAGGTTACGCCCTTCAAATAAATAATGTTAGCTGTTGGGATGCTATATACCAATAAAACCAAACTAAACCCAAGATTACCGGTAGGTATGTATGTTTGACCTCAGTTAACCCCAGTTAGGTGTATGTTTGACCTCAGCTCACCCAAGGTTAGGTGTATGTTTGACCTCAGCTAACTTCAGGTTAGGTGTATGTTTGACCTCAGCTAACTTCAGGTTAGGCACATATTTGACCTCAACCGACTTCAACTTAGGCTTATTTCTTATCTCAACTGCATGACCCCTGATGAGGCATGTGTGCCCCCTGCTGACCCAAGGTTAGGCTTATGTTTTGATTCATAGGACCTAAGCTTAAACACAATTTATGTTTATTCAGATAAAAAATACTGATAATTCATTACACTATCCTAAAATTGTATGACAGGATATTACAACATCATATTTTAATTAAATTTGACCCCTGGTGACCCTAGAGGTTAGGTATAAGTTTGATCTCTGATGACCAAAATTTAAATGGCATCTAATTAATTACCCGTATTCACCCCGGGTGTTCTCATATAGATGGTTTCTGAACAACTGTGGTAAAATCATGACATGTCTGAAATGATATGCCTTTATAAGTTATGCTTTTATAATATCAGAATAGATGCTCATTCCATTAGGGAATATGTATTATTTAAGCTTGTTTCATTATGTTTTGAAAATGCATACATACATTTCGAAAATGCCAAAGTGAATATGAAAACTAAAGTTGATTAAGATTTGTTTGTCTACACACATTCATATTTACTTTCATATGTATGCATTAGGATATCATAGGAACATGCATTTACAATTTTTTGCATGTACTGATTTAAAATGTTTGTGAGAAGTTCTGGTTGTGATTTCAGATATCCCTGAATAATAAATGAAAGTTGAATTTTTCAATATGACTGTTAATTGTTACTATGAAACCTCACATATCTGATGTATCAGATTTATTACTACATATTTGTCTTTTAAATAAAAAATTAATAAAAACTGATTTAAAAAAGATGTTGACTTGTTTTGTTGTTAATGTTCTTTTTCAATACCCCCATGAATGGTTTAGATGTATAATTTTAAAATAGAGAGAAGACAAAATAAAGAACTCTAATAATTTATGGTCTTAACTCATAGGTGCTAATATATGGGGCCTTAATACGCAGAAATATTAGGGAGTAACTAATCATGTATCAAAAGGAACATATCCACAGGTACCATTACAAGGGCATGGCTTGTATATATCTCCACTACATGGTCTGAATATGTGTATCCAAGCCATTATGTCACAACATGCCAAATAATTGGACATTAATTTGTCATTTGAACCCTCAATCCATATTCATATGACCTTAGGTGTTGTGAGGAGCTTAAACCCCAAACAAACATCAAACACTCATTGGAAGTGAGAAACATTTCTCTTATCATTGGTACATAATTAACACTTGCAGCTACTTAAATGAAAACTACAGATTAATTATTTATAGACAAAATTTGCACAGATAACTTTTCTGAGGAGTATTACCCTTAATACACAAAAACAATGTTGTGGGGATCTAACCAGTATATGTGCCATGCCCCTTTGGTAATCATAGATAAGTTATAATCCTTGTGCACTTTGTTAACAGACATTTCATGTATTCATGAGGACATAAACTTGTGTTTCACTCAAAATGAATGTCTTGCAACGTTGTGTGTGAATAAATGCTCTCAAGATTCATGAACTTAATTCTTAAACTTAACGATTAAGGCGACTTTAAACCAAAATAAATATCACACACACATAAATAATCCACAGTAATATAAAATAACCATTGAATTAATATGACAAGAGTGTCAATTAAAAATAAGAAAAAAATATTCTATATTTGACAATTTATATGCAACAAATTGTATACAAAACATATACATTTTTAAACTTTCACAAATTACATGTACAATCATTGCTGAGACCATAACAGCCTGTTCATTTTTATACCAGTCATTTTCATTACACTGGTATATAATTTTACCACGGACTTGGCTAATCTAATTCCGTGCTATTACTTGAGCCTTAAAATGTACATGTACCAGTGTATTTCTTCTGTTACTTTCCAAAGGATAGGACAGGCAATGCTTAACATTAATTGCTGAGCTAGTGAGAGTCCCAGAGTTAAACAGTAAGGCAGTATTTTCCCCTCATTTTCTTTGGCTGTTACAACATTCCCCCTCTGAGGAGTCTTGTCCCAAGACTTTGCCTGGGGAATCCCATGAGTTGTCCCTGGGTAACCAATGCACCTTCCCCAGCCACTCAGAACTGGTGTACATGATACTCATTAGGTCATCATGCTGCCACCAAACATGACATGCAGGCGGGCACCCATCAAGCCACTGACCATGCTTGATGTTGCTGAATTAGTAAGCAAGTCCCATAGTTATACCACATCACTAGAAAATTTCCCCTCATATTCCCTGGCTTCCACACTTGGAAAGCGTATGTCTATCATCATTGACAGTGCTCCTTCACAATGAGATCAAGAAATTTCTTTTATTCAGAAGAAGTCAACTGTCATTCTGTCTACAACTTCCTGGTCACCAACCATCTGCAAAACAAAAAAAGCTGAATTAGTCAAAGATTGGTAAGATGTCAATGCTAAATTAAGTGAATAGAATTAGAAAAAGTCAATGTGAGAAATTAAATCAGAAACTAAAACAAAAAAGCCTTATTGAACTTCATTAGATTTTAAAAGCTTTTTACTCATTATATTGCATGTTGACATTTGACCCCAACCAGTACTCAAAGTTGACTTTTGATCTAAACACATTATAACAGAAAATTATTAATATATCAGCTGGTCTACATATTGTATCAACGTATCAATTGGATCTAGATTTAATAGTTCTTCAGATAATATTGTTTAAATTGTTCAACATATTGGACACCCTATATATGACATTGAAAGTAAGTCAAGGTCATTTTTATAAGGAACATTCATAACAAACCATTCCAGGTACCTAATATGATCAGATATCATGACCCTTGGGTTTTTGGCATTCAACAAGAAGTCATTAAAAACAGATGGACAGGCACACAATAGACATGACACTAAACCATAAGCTCGCCAGCACTTTGTACAAGATGAACTAAAAGTATCAGTTGTACAGGTATGAATTAATAGTTGTATGTACTAGCTATGTAAATAAAATTATATCAGTTATATAAATAGTTGTACATGTATTAGCTTATAGCTATTCATGTAAATAAAATTATATCAGTTATATAAATAGCTATGTAAATAATTATATCAGTTATACAGTGAATTTTGGAATATTTATTTGAGTCTTGCACTATCGTTTTATTTCCTCTATGACTAAGATTTATCGACTTCTTACCTTTTCAAATTCTGGGAATGTAATTTGACCTTTGGTTTCAAGGTCAGGGTGACTTAGAGCTTTGAATGTCAAGGCCAGAATGTGATCATCAGAGATAGCAACAGAGTAAAATAATTTGTAGAGCCGGAAAATCTCATCGTGGGTTAAAGCATCACTACTGTAGATGTTGAATAGGTCAAAGATGACTGTAAAATAGCAGAAAATATAATTTTAAAAATAATGACATTGGAATACATTTCAAATATAGATAGATCAAGAATAACTATAAAACTGTCTTAATTTAAATACAGCAAATTTCATTTAACTCCAAGTTATTAATTCCTGGAAAGAAATACACAAGTTACTGTGGAGGTATTTGACTAATCTAAATTCACGTTTAAACCTAACTTACCATGCTTCCAAACATTATCATTCAACAAGGGCTAATAGTTCAATCAATTTTGTTCAACTTTAAATCAGCTGTTATTTATTTTGATAACTTAAATGTGCCAACACCAAACATATAAAGGATGTAATACAATGTACCAGGTTATACATGTAGTACTCTACAGTCAAGGGGAGATAACTATATTATACCTAGCCAAACTTTGTCTGCCAAATAATGATGTGAAAAACATACATTTCTTTTTCTCTGCTGGTTTAACCCGATCACTGAGTAAGGCACAAAGACGAAGAAAGGTTTTGGGGTAAATTTTGAGAGACCGCCTGTCAAGTAAACTGGCAATTATTGGTGGTGCTAAGTCACTGCCTGCAAACTCCACCATAGTCAACATGTCATCATACGATATACCGTCTGTACCATCAGGGTCCATGTCTTTATATCGCTTCATCAACTTCCTCAGCTGACTTTCTGTGACTGAAAAAGATTGGACAATTATCATCAATGAATTTGTGCCTTATAAATATGATCAATTATCATTAAAAAAAGGATGATTGTACAATGATAATGAAATCCCACAGATGTCTGTCTGTCTGTCATGTTCGATAATAAGCTGTGATATGTACACCTGCAATAGGGGTTTAAAAGTTCCTAAGGTCAAAGTCAATGTTACTAAAAACAGACCAAGACAATATATGGTGATATACTGAAGATGTTCAAAAGAGGTTTTACAAGTTTCTTAGATCAAAGCTGCTGTTGCTTAAAATGGGTCATTTGGAAGAGTTACAGTCGGGCACATGGCAGCTAGGGCCCTTGCTGACTTTTCAGTGTTCTAGCTAAGACAAGGTATAAGACAGATATGACAATTATATCTGTCTCTGATAACTGATTTATGTACACCCTTTATTGAAATGAAAACAAAAAATTGTGGCCCAAGACTTTGGGCTTGTATCTCTCAGCTGATATCTAACGATGTTAGCAAAATATCTGGTAAATGATTATATGATGTATTCTGGAAATGTACATTGTAGGTCTCATGCAGTCAAGAGACTATATATAGCAATCACATAGCATTTTGTCATCTGAACAACCTTAACTGATGAGTGCCCTTAATGGTTAGAGTCCATGACCCTAGGCATCATTGTTTATGAAAATATGTCATTTGAGGTTATCAACAGACCTGTGACCTAGAGCGTGGACAGACAAAAAATGAATACCTCGCCCTGGTATAATTAATCTTACAGGCACTTTGTGCCTACGAAGGGAGTTCAAAAATTAGATATACACTAACAGTGTAACTGCAATTATAGGATTACATTTACATTGTGGCAATGCATTTCTATTTTAAAATGCATTGTAGAAATAAATAAAGGTATTGGTACACCAATACAATTATTGGGCAAGGAGATCCATTGTCCTGTGGGTAGTGGTCAGTGGATGTACTGTGGCCTAGCCATCCAAAACTTATGTTAACTAATGCAACCTACATTTATGGAATCCTTGGTGTTGATGCTCCATCACTTACCTACTTGCATCTTAAAAAGCCATGTAAGTTTCTACCAAGAATAGCTTCATCTTATAAGGCTATAGTCATTTGTAGATCATCTTGCTAAGTTTGCTGAGCATTTGAAAAACAGGACAAGCAAAATGTAAAAACATGAATGTAGGAGTCTAAATACAAGCCATAGTATCACAAGTGTAATTTGTACTGGTACTAGTGACGGCTCAATTGGTTAGAGTTAACCCTTTCAACCCTATGTTACTTTAGTAGACTCCACCATGTATTGATATGGATGAGTACATTATGGTCTACAGTGGTGAAAGGGTTAAAATCTGACTTGAAATTTAGTTGAGTTATTTGAGATGTGTAGTCAAGCTGCTTACATGGAGTAGAGGCTAACAGATCCTCGATTTCTTCCTTGCTCAAAACATTTTGCAAACTGGATTCATTTCCCTAAAACAGTCAAACATATTAATTTCTTACATCAAAGATACATTAACCAAATTGTCACTAATATACATCAATTAATTTAGAAACTTTAGTCTAAAATATCAATTAATTCACCAATTTAAATACAAAGTGAGGAGAGATATAACACAAAAAAGAGCAAGACCATGTTATATTTCCTACAAAAATAATAATTCATCTCCTTCTTTTACAAGCACTGCTTACTGTAATTAATTAAGATACCAATATATACTTTTCTGTACTATTGACTGTATATTACTCCCCTCCCAATTTGTTAAATCTGCTCTCCTGTTCAGGAATAAAAATGACAAAATAATATGAGGGGAGGGAGAGGGTAAATATTAAGGGGAGGATGGAATAAACCCACAGTATACACATGTACAGTAATACTTGTGTGAAAGTTATATATCTTCCTGTGTGTTGTCATCAGTGCTGACTATTCAATATTGGGCAATAGCTACTAACCATGTTTTCAGTTATCAGTTGAAGGTAAATTTTAGTAAGAGTCAGCAGCTTTCCTTCAGTGAATTTCTCTTTCTGTGCACTTCATCATCATGAAACTGAATAAAAATAAAACAAACCATATATTCACTATCAGAATACATGTACAAATTATAATTAACTGTTCACAAAGGATGTTCCAATGGTTTCTTATTTCTTAGTGTGAAACAGTTTAGGAAAGAGAATGATACATGAAGATAATGATATTATTAAGTATCATAGATCAATTATTACAGATAGGTTAAGCTAATTATAAAATCCAGAGCTGTCCTGTCGGATGCAAAACCTTAACTTTTTCTCAATCTCATAAAACTTCATCAAAACATTCTCCTACAGTTAACAAAATATATTCAACGAAAGACATGTACAATGTTTATATTTCGACACAGACTCTACAATACTGCATGTGATATGGTTATTCTGGGAAGACTATTTTCACTAGCTAGCTGTGATAACGTACGTAGCTCTGGACGACGGACGGACAATTTCTGATAGATGGTCGTCGACAGAGCGGAGAGAAAGCAGGGTATGAATATTCGTTCTATATTTTCACATACATGTTATTTGTATTTGCATTCCATATGCAGGTCCTTGTGGCTATAACGTTAGACAAGTCACAGATGCTGGACACGCTAACATATGTACAGTATATACTATATAATAGCAGTACATGCATATATATACATGGTAAATATACACATCAATATAAATATATTATTGTGTTACACCACGGAATAAGATTAGGCACATTAGGCGCTAATTTATAATAGTGTGCATGCACCTGTTCACCGTGACCTCGGTGCAGCAGTCTTCTTCTTCCTTTACAAGGATCAGACTCAAAGGTTTGAGTGCACTTGATCCTGGGAGGTGGCATTAAAAATGTTAAAAACAATTATTTTTGTTAATTTTTACTAAAACAAGAAAACAATTTATGGAAGGTTGAAACTAGCCAGGGCAGACCTGAAAGAGTTCAGGTTTGGCTCCTGTGCTAGCTAGGGATGATGGTAGCGAATTCCAGTTAACAATAGTTCAAGGGAAGAATGAATATTTATACAAATCAATACAGTCACACACTCACCAAGGAAGACTTCATAATAATAAGTAATTATTTTTTTTATATACAAGATACAAGCATTTTCATTTAGAGTCGTGTTTGTAACAAAACAGTAATCAGTTTAACCAATCCATCCTCACATATAAGTATTTCTCGAAATGATAAACACTGTCAACAGAGACGTATTATACGTCTCTGCTGTCAACAACTCCGTTGTTTGCCGTAGAAGTTTTAATTAATACATGTTACTTACACAAATGAAAATGCATCAACTAGAGCCACGGCATAATATGTCTAGACATAGTTAATAACACTGCAGTGCATGACCCTTGAGCATGGAAACGGTTGTTTGTAAACATATTTACTTGAGTGGTCATTCGTACCTCTAAAATTGAAGATTTCTTTTCTTCGTTTTCCGTACCACCTGTCTTATTTATACCAAATGTGTTCTTTTAACTCTCACAAAATGTATCTCTTATTGTATGAATATTGTTAAAAATACATATTTTGTCAAAAGAATTAGATGTTTTCCGCTTATGAAAAGGTTATAACCGGGGATTCCCTCAGAGCACCAAGTCAAAGAAGGAATCTCCTCTCATGATTTGACGTCACTTCCTGTTAATTAACTCGCAGGTGGGTGAGGTCAGATCGTGTCGCCAAAAAAAAACAGTGGGTGTTCGTATGCTTGCTGACTAACACGGGCAAACTGGAAGAGCTTACCGATTAACGTAAACATCGGTTTTTGTGGTTTTGATATGTTTAAGAGTCAACGATACAGTCAGTGCGACTTGTTCAGCTTCAAGTCGCGCCAACAAACTCAAGTTGAACGTTAGGGACATGTTTTTACCATCTGGTACAAGATTCGTACAGCTTCGTTTCAATCTTGACAGTGTTTATAATTTCGAGAAATAATTATATATGAGGATGGATCGGTTGAACTGATCAACGGATTATACTTCTGTCTGCATTTATCTCACGAGATCGTCCATCAAAATACAATGCTTGTGGTAACTGTAGCAGTGTTTTTAATACAGGTAAGAAGTTATGACAGGTGTCTTCTAAATATATCTACCTGTACATGAACATTTAGATATGATGGAAGATTGACATCTAAACAATTGGCTAAACAAATGTGTACGTGTTCCTAATTAATGATTTTACATTCCTAATTGTTGGTGAAATTTCAAACTATTGATATTATAATGTAACACCTAAAGATTCTGTTATAAAGCAGATCTGAGTCATGATAAGCTGGCATGTTATGCATGTCATCCTAAGCAACATGAATTAAAAGACATGTAATAAGAGGAATATTGTAACAGGTAAACATGTTTTTGTCAAATCAAGTATATGTTTGTATGTATGACATCACAGAATTAGTCTGTGGTATCATCAAAAGTTTAAAATTTATAAACAAGCCCCATTTGAAAAGCTTAATTTATTTTCATTTGAATATATTCATACAGCAAAATCGTGATTAAAATTTCCAACTCTGCACTTGGATACAAATTAAGCTATTTACTTAATACCAGCATGGACTTATATTTTAAATTAGTCTAATCAAATTCCTTGATACCAGTAATATAATAGAACAGATATAAAACATGAAGATATAAATGGAAATAAAACATATAAACACATATATAGTCTATCTCTTCTGTAGGACTCACCCTCATTTTGAGAATTTTTTATCATGATCTGTTTGTAATGGAAGTTTTTGCAATAAATATTCAAGGACTCGTATATGAAAGTGAAAATTTCCTACAAAAATAATTTAATGTTTCTCATACCCAAAAATCTAGATTAAATTTGTTTTTTATAAATGTATTATTATTAACATTATAAACAAATTTGGTCTAGATTTTCTAGATGTATATATATACCATAACAAATAACTGTGAGAGGTTTTGTACATAACTTCCTGGTTTATGATGAGAATATTACTTCATGCCAACTTAATTGTGTCCAGTAATAACATATGTAGACAATGTGGAGAACTAGATATCCATCTCTATGCCTTGAGCATTCTGGCCATCCATTATTAGTCCATAAACAGTTTTCCTGCCTCTGGTGTTAGCTTAACTTAATATAATTGAGTATGTGTGTCTTTTTGATAATCTGTGAGGCCAACATGTGAATTTATAAACTAAAAGTTCATATAGTGTTCACAATGGTTCTGTCAGCCTCATTTTGGTATCAAAGCTGCCCCCAAAAATGCCAGGGCTAAACCACATTTTATTTTACTTCTTGGTATCATATTCAGTCACTTGACTAATGGAACACTTTTTTAAACAGTAAATATATAATATCACTACAACTTATAAATACCAGTCCCCATGTTTGTGTATTAATACAAATATACAATGGCAGATTTGATGATATCTGGAAAATTACATGGACATTTATGATTGTCTGTACACAAATATAAATGTAGCCATTTCTTTGCCATGACTTAAATTTACTTCAAAGTTACTCATCATACACTCATGATCACAACACACATGCAACCACGCACACACAGAACACTAAGCTAATGGAATAATTTCTGTACACCAAATTATTTATGACATTTTATTGGTCCAATTAAGATAATAATGTATACAGTATATACAATCTGTATATATATATACTGTAAGTCTGGAGGTATCAACAATCCAGAACAACTTTTATCAGTGTCAGGGCCCTATTGAATTACGCCCTGTCTGCTCAATATCTGAGACATGCCTGGAGAAGCTTAGAGTCACATAATTACTTTTGATAGTGGGTCTATAATATAAGCATATATTATACAGACTCAATTATTACATCACAATTGAATGATGTCTTATTGATGCAAGCTTAAGTTGTGGTATGATATTGATCAAGTCAAATTTATAATCAAGCCTTCTTCATTTAGTGTATTCAAATATTGTGCAAGAAATTTGTTGCATATATTTATTATTCAGCCTTTTGAATTATATAATTACTGTAGGAACATGGGAATAAGAGCAAAATATGTACAAACTGGCAGTAAAATCATGTAGGTAGCTCTCGATGTCTATCCACAATTCAGAGTTTACTCAGTCAAATACCTGATTTTGCTGTGTTGAATGATCTGTGATTGCTGATTTATTGATCTGGGATTCTGACTGCTTCCTTTCTGCTCGGATGAATTTCTTTAAATTCCCTTTTGGTTTTAATCCCTATCTTTCCATTGTTCACCAGGTTACCTTGGTATATAAATTTAAACCCCAAGTCACCTACCAGTTGTATCGATATACAATGCATCACAGTTCTTGTACCACTGACCAGTTCCCTTTAGGTGATATTCTAATATAAGGGTATATACAAAGATACTATGAAATAAATTTCTTGTGTGGCTTCATAGCTGTTGTTATGCCATGGTTGTGATATATCCTGTCTATGGAACAGCCATCCTGAAGGGAGAATCAGTGGCATCCAACGTTATAACGACACCATAATAATTTCATGACGTCAACATGCATTTGTGTCATATGGCATTCATAGCTGATATGAACGCCATCAGAACTTGGTAGGGTTATAAAGTGGAAGTACCATTGAGTGGTAAATTCTTTCTGTTGAACAACATGTAAACCCCACCCCCTTCCCTCCTTCCTTGCCTTACAGTCATGTGTCTAAATCATTATTTTGCTATTCATGAAGCCATACAAACAGTCCCTGTTTTTTCCCCTACTTTTCAGGTCAAATGTATATATTGATATAATCTGAGTAAACTTCAAGGTCATTGAATTGAGCTTACTCCTAGTGCAGAATGAAAATAATAAAAAAGACCAATTTATCTATATATATGGCATTCCATTGTGAAGGATATGGAATAAGGGCACCGAAGTAGGTATTGTTTTTCTGTTCAAAAATAGCATTTTCAAGTGGACTAATCCCGATAATTGTTACGCACTGTTACAGGGTGGTATATGTGTAAGTCAGATTAGGAAACACTTATATTTACTATATATAAATTGGTATGTCATCTACAAAATGTTAGATTTGCTATAACCCGACAGGGATAGTATAGATCATTGACTTGTTCTGCATTGGGACCAGAGATTTGGCATGTGATGCTCAACAATGATAATGTGATGTTATGTTTGGTGGTCATGACTCAGTGTACATGTAGATTGTGCATGATTTAGCAGAATGATTCTGACCTTATACAGCTCCAGCTAATAACATAGTCTAACCCTGGAGTTTTGGGGTTTCTGATTGTCTTTAATGATAGAATCTATTATTCTGGTACTTTTCTCATAAGATAAAATGTATGTATTAAATAAATAATGAGCTATAATTGACACACTGATAATTAATTATTAAAAACACCTGATTGATCACTTTAGATTTTATGGTTAAAGCCAAGGAATATGTTTCATGAACATAAAATGTTGTGTACACAAGCTTATAATTTCTTAGGTCCTGTGGTGTTGTTTTTTTTTTGTAGTTTATACATGCATTTGTAAAAAGAAAAATTAATTTAATCATCATAATTATAATACCGGAATGGTCTGGAGCAGGATCTTATTTGTCAACACTGCTTTAAACATATCAACACAGAGAAACAAGTGTTAAAATTTGGATATTTTACTAAGTTGTTTTACAGTTTGATTAAAGATAAGTGTGTGTAAATCATCTACAGAAATTAGACCGGCAGATTGTGACCTTGATCATGAGTATATAACTCTGAGATACTGTGGAGACAATCTCCTGGAGCTAGAATTGAGGAGTGTCCTTATAACATAATAGTCTACATCCTGTTATTCCGTTATTACAGACGTATATCATATTAAAGAGAAACTTCAGTCTAGGTCTTAGTCTGATTAGGGCAGAACTTAATGGTTATAATGAAAGCACATGGAATGGTATACTGTTTTTTGTTTCTCCCCAATTCTTGAATTACTGTCAGACAGCCAGAGTATATATATATATATATATATATACAAGTGACAGATTGCAGCTGTTGACAAATAACACATTGCCTCTTTTTCATATACACAAACTACATTTGTATATGGCTGGGAAATATTAAATGGGGGATCAAACAGTTTTCTGTCAAACTTCAATAAAAAATGATGTTTGATAGGGGTTATTATTAAGATAATATCGTAAATTGTTTAAAAGTAGGTCATACTAGACTTTTATTTCACTTTATAGTTAATAGTATCAGCTCTACATGACCATTTACTAGCTGTACAGATATAGTATATTGTCTTTGGTACACTGAAACAGTCCTATTTAGAGAAAAAATGGCATTTAAGGCAATTAGTTCATGCTCCCAGTAGAGGTGATAATTATTCCTGGACAACACTAATTACTGTGAACATGTTCCTACAGGTTTTTGTTCCTGTAGGTACCACCAAATCAAACGGTATTATAAGTATTGCCGAAAGTGTTTAAATTATTTGTTATTAAGTTTTACATTAGTATCTTCTTTAGAATTTTAAACATTCTTAAATGACACAGAACTGTTTAATACATGTAGAATTTTAGATGTTGCTTGTTTTGTAATTCAAGTATGTAAGTAATATCATACACATTTTGTACAAGTTCATCAGTAGATATAAACTTGTACAAGTATACCCTTTTTATGCTTTCGAATTAGAGAAAAAAAATTGCTTCAATTTCCAGAAGAGAACACTTAAAGGTTGACCTTAAGAAGATATTTAACATTTCCCTTTATTTAGGATATTCGTACATTGTTTGAATAAGACGAGAAATCAAACAGAAATCACACTGTTCAAGATCTGGCTCCAGGTCTCCTTAAAATGTAAACTACATTGTGAATTTAAGTACAGATAGCTTAGAGTTTGTATCACTATATGTAAATACCAGCCTGTATAAGTATAGTAAACAAGTGTATACCTCTTATACATGACAATCATCCATCATTTTGTACTAAAAATATGTGTGATATATCCTTCCACGATTTGTCATTAATATAAATAAAATGTCATCTGATGACAGTAACTAATGGTGACCTCACTCCTCTAAAAAAAGTATCAGCCAATTCAATTTCTTGTTTCAA